ACCTGCCCCATCTTTCAGAGCCCCCCCCCCGCCGTTCACTGGGTGAGAAGGATGTAATCAGAGCTAACGCTGCTCGGGTTAAACACATGGTCCCTTCACAAGCACGCAGCTTAGAGGAAGCTGCTTCTCTTCCCATTTCCCTGGGCTGCACCTACTTGAAAGCTCACACTGTCCAATTGCTGAATGCAAAGCTCTCCAGAGCTGCTCAATTTCCTCAGCCCCTTTGTTCCCAGACCTGAAGCCTGGTCACCAGCCCAATTCCCGAGGTTCTAAATGCCATGGGTACTCAGACATGGCATAGCAATGCAGCAATAAATAGAAGGTGGTAGGATGCTGTTGCCCACGTTTTGGCTGCCAGAGCTAATCCTGTAGCTGTGCTTGTAGTAGCAGAGGTCTATTCCTCACCAGGGGCTGGCAGATTGCCTCCCTGGTGAGTCCTCAGTGTTCCCTGTCAACATGGTGTTGATACTGATTGGAAGATATACACTTTGGCCTGAGTATCCCGTGATTCAGTACATCTGTGTCTGTCTTAGGTGGTTACACACAACACATTGCATGGCAGAATTCCTGGGCTAGAAAAGTATTTCTGTGCATGTATCTGGCTATAGGGAAAATGCTGATTTTAATATTATTAGTAGCCAAGGAAATACAATAATACTATCCTGAAGGAATGATCTAAGTGAAAATCAAAATGAAGTCTCCAGTGGGCCCGGGCTGCATCTCTCCTGGGTTCCCAGACTCTGCATTCTACCTCCAGGCCCCCATCTGTGAGCAGAGGTTGTGCTGACAGGTAACTGATCATCCATAGGCTTCCACCTCCCACCTGGAGAGCCTTCTTCCACAAAGGAACTTGTCTTGCTCCTTGCGTGCAGAGCGCCTAGATCATAGTGGTGTTCTACAAGTACTTGATGAGCAAATGACTAATCTAAGACATGCTCAGGTTTCTACAACTGCATTAAGGCCTTTTTTCCCTTGTAGAAATACGTCCTTTCCCTTTAGTGTAGTCAAGATTATTTTAGAATCTTCTAAATGTTTTTCCTCTATGGAACTGAGGGGAAACCACTGTAAAAACACTCAATAGTAAGAATAGTTCTACAGGAAGCACAACTTCTCTGCTGATGCAGGCATACCACTCTGTACATGCATGCGTGTGTGTGTGAGTGTGTGTGTGCATGTGTGTATGTGTGTGTGTGTGTGTGTGTGTGCGTGTGTGTATGTGTGTGTGTGTGTGTGTGTGTGCGTGTGTGTATGTGTGTGTGTGTGTGTGTGTGTGCGTGTGTGTATGTGTGTGTGTGTGTGTGTGTGTGCGTGTGTGTATGTGTGTGTGTGTGTGTGTGTGTGTGTGTGTGTGTGTGAGATTTGCAAGCCAAGAAGTACTGGGCTCTCTATTTACCCCAGCTTTTCTTCTTAATACGTCAGTCCATAAGCTTCTGCCCCCAGACTAGGACTGGTCCATGTTAACTGCTTTGGCACCTATGAGAGCAGCAATCACAATCTTGTTCAACAGGGCATCCAGTGCACAGAGATGGGATTCAAAAGTTGTGAATGGATGAATACATTGTTCTATAAATATGGAAGATAAGTCTAGTCCTGTAACTAGAAAAATCAGTGGCTTGTTACCATTAGATGTTTGATTCAGTTGGTATGACTGAGCCTCAATAGATCCTGGCTGAATGTTTTTCTCATGTGCATTTTAAAATCATCACCACTGCTGGCCAGATAGAGATGATTAATCCCCCTGATTTAGGGGAAAGCTAAACTGCTATGAGAAAGAGATGTCACAATGCAATGACCCATAGCCTGCACTCGGGTCCCAAAAGTTTGTTTTTCTTTTGTGTCCAGGGTGGGTGTTCAGATTGGTAGGTAGCCCATCCCATGTCAATATTCAGGTACCTGGATCCATGGTGTCTTAACCTTCTACTGTTCCCTAATACAATGCTATACAAAGGGCTGAATGACCTGCAGGGAGCTTAGGAGCTTGCATCAAAATGTAAACCCATGCATGACTTCCTTCATTGAGAATGTCTTGCTATGGAAAAAATCTCAGCTAAACTAACCAATGTTGCTATCACTTTTGTGTGTGTTCTGGAACAAGCTTTTAATCTCTTGGTACCTGGATAACAAGTATCTGATCTGTTGGACCACATGTGATTAGCATATTCTAGAGCACTTTCCCTAGAGGCATTTCCTGCTATACCCATTCAAATATAGCACCGTTCTCTTCTGCATGCATTGCTTTGGGTAAAAGTCAGCTCACTGGTGACAGGTAACTACCAGAGAGGTTGATAGTCATGTGTCAGGCTCTGCTTGCATCATCGTGGAAGGAGCTGATGAAGTTTGATGGACACCTGCAAAACTGGCAGAACCAGCCTAGTGTGCCTAAAGTACTTGAGACATCTATCCAATTTTGTTTAAAATACTTGGTTAGATAGGAGGAGTCCATGCTCACTGGGAAGAGAAACTGGATCTCTAGCCCACCTCCTTTGCCCTACAGTTCTATTCCCCTAGAAATGTTCCTGCTACCATCATAGGCAGCATCCTTTGGACTCAGTGAGCTGCTGTGGCCCTGATTAGGATACTTCCCCTGAATTCCCCATTCAAGATTATTCAATTTAATCTCTTAAAGGAACCTTTTCATTTAACCACTCCCCATAGAAGTGCTATGCAGCCAATAGCACATTTCATCAGCAATAGGATTTATTTTGTCTGTGTCTGTAGTAGGTTAGGGGTAGTTCTGTTGACCTTTCATGGGCTCTATCAGTCTGGACTCCGGTCCAAGGTTTGATCTAAGTCTAGGTGACCACATGTGTCTCTCACTCTACTGGAATCAGCAGTTTAGGAAGAACACTTTCCTCTCGTGGAAAGGCTGTTATGGACTTGGCAAGGCTCCTGAAGGCCAGGATATAGAGTTTACATGCTGCCATTTTCCCCTTGTGTCACTGGGAGCCATGTGCAAGCTACCTGGGCAAGCCCATGGTCAAGGTGGGGAGGCACATGCTGCTCGTGATGAGACTGTGGTGAAGATGTGGATTTGGGAAGAGGCACAGAATGCAGCAGTGCTTCAATCTATGGCAGGGCAGAGAACAGAAAGTAGGCAGTGAATAACAACAGCAATATAGTCTGGCCAACAGAACAGTGTTTATTCTCCCTCCACTTGGTATCACTGTAAGGAATATCTAGGGCTACACTACTACGGTCCCTTTTTTCCATTCCCAGGTGACATTTTCAGGGAGATTCAACAGTTATTTGCCCTATGGGATCTTTATTTCTCAGAGCAAGAAATACATATCTTCATAGATTCATGAAAATTTCAGGTCAGTCTGTGCCTTATGATTTTTCTCTTAAATCCTAAATCATGAATCTGTGATGTGATTTGAAGGGGGTTCCATAAAGGCATGAATGATCTAATCTAATCAGGCCCATCTGTGTGTTGTGAAGAGAGACCCCCCCTTAAGCTAGCTCAAGCAAAGCAGGGTATTTTGCAAGAATATACTAGAAACATCAGAAATCTCAGAAACAGGGTCTTGTGTGGTTTAGCTGAGTCTCCAGGGAACTAGGACAAGGTCTAAGGTCTCATGCTTCATGAAATGTTTCCCCTTCTGTGTCCCTGTCAATGGATGAACTCCCACACCAGCGATGTGTTCCTGTTCCCACACAACTTCAGACTGCTCTGTGGCCCACGGCCTTCACCTCAGCATCCTCCATCAGAGGACAACTTTTCACACAGCTTCCTAACTTCTGCCTCCCCCAAGAAATTGCCTCTGTCTCTGTTTCCTACTCTAGATTTCAAAGAGAATCTTTCTCTTGTTTTGAACCAGCCACACAGGTTACAGGTGACCCCAAAGTCTTATGGATGGATGAGTCTAGTACCTCTGGTTAGGGTCTAGGAAGATGTGGTGGTGAATGTGGTAATATCCGCTCTTCAGGGCTCTAAGCATAAGACTGTGTTCCTATGCATACGTGGAGCAGGCACCCTGATGTTTCAAACACAAAGTCCCTTCTCTTTAGACCCTCAGGCATGTTGTCTTGAGCTTGGTAGCTCATGGTTTGTGCTGTCTCTTTAGCTCAGTGACTTTCTGCCAGGTACTTTGTCTACAAAGACATATTTTAAATTTTCTCCTATACAGCTCAAGATTTGGGGAGATTTTTTACTGTGAAACAGGTCCTATTTTAATTTCCTGTTTTAATTTATACAAGATATAAAGAACTGTTCACTGGTTTCTAAGCAGATTGGAATAACCAGCATTCCCACAGAGAATTGGTATATCTGCAGCCTAAGTCAATGAAATATTGCATTTTAGTCTTTTTGGCTTCATCAAGAGTAAATGTATGTTATTTTAGAAAAACTTCTTAGAATATGGAAAACAGCTCATGCATCTGTACAATGGCCCTTAAGAGACAACAGGTTGTGAGTCTCTTATGTTTAAGGGGCTATTTTTGCTAAATAAAAATAGCTCATTGAAGGGAACTACCTTTAACTCTCACTGATCAAGCAAACACTGGTATCAGTGAAGGTT